TGTATATATATGTGTATATATATATGTGTATATGTATATATGTATATATGTGTATATGTATATATATGTATATGTATATATGTGTGTGTGTATATATATATATGTATATGTGTATATATATACACACAAACTTACTTAATTCTTGACTGTTTTCAGCATTTCTCTGATGATAGATGAGAAGTGTCTATAGTGTTTCAATACCAGACAGTTTAGTTCTTGAATTGCCATTAAGTGATACACAATGGTTATTGCATTTACAAATAGATTGTCCCCTTTTTATGGCATGGCGTATATTCAGTACAACATACTCTACAGACCAATGGCAACTCATGTTTTAAATAGGTTTTTGTGGATGTGATTTTTATATTTGCATGTTTAGTGAGCCAGTTTGTTTGAGTTTTTGTTTTACACACCGGTTAATGTAAACATTAGCAGGGATGGACCCCCTCTGGCCCCTCATCTCCCTCCGCCTGGGTTCCTAGATCCAGAGGGAGAGTCCGCTGGCCTCCTTTGAAGCTCTGGGATGTGAGTCCGTGACCAAATAACCCTTATCTTTCTGGTGACTTTTGAGCTTTGACGAATGGCCAATACTTGGAGCCAACGGAATGGGTAATAGGGATTTGGGCAGTGATGAGAATTAAATTGAATAACCGAACAAGGCAAATATATCAGCAACTTTTGCTTGAAGAATTACCCATTTACGTGGCTCCAGGTGTTTGTCTCTTTAGAGGAGGGGAGTTCACCTTTTTAATAGTGCACCTATTTAAGTCTGGTGGTGTTTTTGGGAAATTGGCTGTTCACACAAAGGGTTATCGTTTCACCAACACGTCATGAACCGCAGCGGACCTTAACTCTCATTTGAGATGTCGTAATGGAACCACCATGACATGACATGGTAACCCACTGCTTCACAGAGATGAACGTCACAAATTCACGTTATGTTTCATATATTTTTCATAAACTTTATGTATTACATACAGTCACCTTGGAGGGGTATGTATTTTGACTATTCAGCATAACTCCACCTTGATATTACTTGCGCCGCTCTACTGGTTATAATGGCTGTTTGGTGTTTGTTGGCATTCAGAGTTCAATATTTTGTTTGAGTTTCAATACTTTGCTTCATTTGCTTCATGCCTTCCTGCCCCTTTTATTATACACTGTCAATATAATAACTGCAAGATGCAGTATTGTATTCCTTATCTTTTAGCTTGTACATATACTTTGATTATGTTACATTGATAAATGTCAAATAAATCTTATTTTTGTTTCCTGGTGCTGATATCGTTGCTTCCAGCACATGGATGGTGACGCTGAGATGATAGATGGCAGCTTCACTGAAGCTACTACATCATGTGAAGAGAAGCAATCTTCAGGTGGGACAGGTGAATTGGCAAAAGTGGCAAATTGACTGTCCCTTATACGGTCCTCATTGATGAAATAAACATATTTTGGTTTTATAGTGTTCAGAATTAGGTCAATACAATGTCTTAAACTGATCTGCAAGACCAGTATTGTGGCCCCATCAATACTTTTTTCCAGTCCTTTGTAGCCCATTGCACTTGAGTATGACAATTGTTAAAATAATTACTCAATACTCTGTTAAAATATTCCCAAACGGTGACACTCATGATCCTCATTATACACAGTCACTCAAATTGGAGCGCCACAATTTTATAAACCGCCTAGAATGATATAATATAAATTTTGTAGTATAACCCTTAAAAAATTCTGATCTATGGCCACCTAATTTTAAGAATGAATGTGTAGTTACAATCTGATGTCACTTTGCAAGAAGAGTAATGATCCAAAACAGTTCCACAAATCAATAGTCCACCAATACCCCAAAAATGTTTTCGGGTCAGCATTCTGTCTGAACTGCCTGCGCTGAGATCTGCGGGCCAGCTCACAGCGTCTATCTGATCTATTTTTTGTGCAAGCCTAGTATTACTGCTGTTTGTGTTTGTCGTTGAAGTTCCGTATATTATTATTCCATATATTTGACAGTTTTGTCTAAACCAGCCAGAGGCAACCTAGCGCATGGTTGCTTAACCAACAGCTCACTAGCAACAAGTGTGCAAGAGTTTTTTGGAAATGTTGAAGTTCCCTCTATCCGCATAGCAAATGGTCTCTTTCACAGCCATTAGCTGTTGTGCAGCTTGTTATTTATGGTTGCTTCATGGATTTATTTTTCCCGCCTGTATTTCGTGGCTAGTACTGTGTCCTCCTTCACAGTATTTGTTAGGTTTATTGGTGAGATTGTTGGAATGTTGGTTGCTTAATGATTTCAACTCAGATCTGGATGTTTTCATAAGGATGGCAGCCTTCTTTTTTAGTGCTTTTGTCATTATGAATGTGACACTTCGTATCAAAAAGGTTGCCGACCCCTGATCTAAACAGAGAGTGACGAGCAGACACACACACACACACACACAAATGAAGAGCAGAGAAGCAGAATCGTTTGTAGACCGGCGCAGAGAAATACTTCCGTTGATCGGACCCAAAAATCCAGATCGGGCCTCCCATAAAAACAAATGGATATAAATCTTTGTACCTGCTATGATGTATATCAAGTATGAAGCTTAGGTATCCTGGTGTTAAGATGTGAGACTACTTTTTCAACAGGTGAAAGGGCACCCAGTGACTCTGAAGCTCCCGTAGGGCTTGACAGCACCAATAAGGAGCAGCTGCACATGGGATGGAAGGAGCAAAATCCTCATCAAGGTGATGAAGTCCACGAGGAGGAAGGAATTGAAGACAAGCAGCAAGGGACCCAACAACCACAGACTGTCTTGAAGTTGTCTTTTAGCGAGGATCAGAGTTTTTCCAAAGCACCTTTCAGTGAGAACCAGAATGTGTCAGAGTTGCCTACAGTTGATGAGCAAAGCTCGCTAGAATCAGCTCATGCAGAGGAGTCTGACAAGACGGAAACAGTTGATGTTTCCATAGTAACTGAACAGGGCGGATCTGAAGTATTTTCACCTGAAGAAAGAGATGGTTCTTCATACAGTGAAGAGGGGATTGAGCCTTCAACAGATGAGGAGTTACGTTTGTGGAGATATCCTCAAGACGAGGAAGAGTCTATCGTAGCTGGAGAACAGGAGGAATATGTGTGTGTGAAAGAGGAGGAAAGGGAGTTGGAGTCATCCAGAGTAGAAAAAGTGAAACACGGCTGTGTTGCAGATCACAGTGAACCCTCTGACATCCAGGAAGGTGAATGTTATTTGGGGGATGTCTCTGCTGAGATGGGCGGCTCCTCTGAAATGCAGGAAGATGAGAAACCTAGACCTGAGTTACAGAGATGTTTAGATGAATCTGTAAAACACCCATCTAGTTCAAGCAGAGACATAGAGACCATGGAGTCCTGTGGAGGACTTCATGAGGATACAGAAGATGTTGATATTTTTATAATAAAACCAAATCAGAAAGACACAGGAGGATGTAGTCAAAGGGATGATGTGTGTCAACAGTCAAATGAGATCCAGACAGTTTTCATAAAAGGAGACAACATGGATCTAGAGTCGGACAGAAGTGGCAGGGACGAACTAACGGAGGCTTCTGGTCTGACAGAAACACAGACGCGGTACACAGAACTAGAAAGAAATATTAAACACATAGCAAAACGTCAGGATGAATCATCAGCCACTGGTGGAAAAGATAGAGCCCAGAGTTTGACAGAGTTCCAGGTGTCAGATCACCTTTTGGAGACCGAGCAAATGGAGCAAGATACAGTAGATGGGAGGCAAGGTGTTGTAGAAACTTTGTGTTCAAAGAGAGTCACCTTCATCCTGGAGCCTGAGCTCATCAATGACTCAACCCTGTCTGAGGCCAATACCTCCACGGAGTCCAGGACAGAGCCAGAGACAGGTGAGAACAGTAAGAAGATGCAGGTGTGAACTCCTGAGGACAACTTGGGAACTCCTTCGAAGCACATGGGTGAAATAGTTTGTTGGTAAGACAGAAATCCCTGACCACTGGAAGTATTGGGCGTTTCTAAATATAATCACGGGGTGACTAAATGTTTGAACATGCACAGATGTTATTTAGAGAAGTGTGTATCTTTACAAATCTAAAATGTTTCAGCCAGAGTGTGTTGGGAAATATTCATCTTCAAGTAGAGAGACCAATACAGGGACACAAGCTGGTTGGTGTTGCACAGGTGTACTCGAGGGAATAAATATGACCTGGCATAAAAGTGAAACAAGATGGATGGTGCCCATCTGTTGTGCGTTTTCTTCAATTTTAACACCTAGTTGTGTGGGACCTCAGCAACCATATACCCGTCCTCCTTTTTTGTTTTAGAAAGTGCCCTCACACATTTTTCTTCCCACAGATGCTGAGCTGAGCTCTCATGATGAGACCAACACGGCTGAAATAATCGACCAGATGTTCGAGGAGGTGCTGGAATATGCTGGAAGGATGGAGGAGGGTAGGGGGGGCGATGAAGACATCGAGGACCACGACAGTGGCATTGGTGTTTGCCCTGGAGACAAAGACAAGATAGACACAGAGTCAGAGAAGGAGAAGAGTGAAGAAGAGTGCGATGAGAGCAAGAGGCTTGAAAGCAACAGAGATGAGCTGACCTTTCCTCCCAGCGGCATCCTCTCTCCTCTCAGCAAGTCTGTAGAGGCTGTGGTCACCCCTCTGGTAAGATGAATTTAAAACTTGATCTGTCCATGCTTGGGTTCCATTAGGGGAGCTCTCTGATAAATTCAGAACCTGGAACAATATTTAATGTTCCATATTTCACCAACAGCGACTGGCAGCAAGCCAGGAGTCCAATCCTTCCTCTCTGCTCTTGACTCCAGAAGAGACGACCACCCCTCCTGCTGAATCTCCTCCTTTATACAGGTAATAACAGCATAGCCCTTTGTACTAACTCTGTTTGGAGTTCTCCATCTTCAATTGTCGGTTGTCTTCTCAATATCTTATATACCGTAGAATCTTTTAACCATTCATATCCTCACACTGGTGACTTGGCCATAAAGCACAAGAGCTGAAATAACAATGCTAAATTATTTAAAATAAAAATACAATGATAATCACTGTAGAACTTTGAGGTGCTTTAAAAGATGGAAATCAAATGTTGGACCAGCCGGCCCATAGGCCTCACTAAAGCTATGATATTACATCATTATATTGGACTTGATAGGATAACTAGGAATTTGGTTGCCATAATGTTTAAATATCTTTATGTAACGTAAAGGCGGCATTGTATTTCAATCGTCATATATTGTCATTATTTTCACTTATCTTTAATTACTGTTTCTTAAGCTTTTCTTTTGGAGGAGCAGTAATGATAATCCATATTGTTGCATTTGCCTGGGTAGTTGATTGGTACTGTCATGTGTCTGTGATTTGATTTTGGTTTGTTCTGTGATTCTCAGTATTGATGCATACCGCACACAAAGACAGAGTAAGCTGCCCACCATTCAGAGTGTCACTCCTGGGGCTCAGAGACGAGCTCCAGAGAAGTTCCAACCTCAACCATCCGTCAACACCAAGGAGAAAATCACGGTGTGAAGCGCTGTCTTCAGCATTATAAACCCATTAACTGTTGTTGTTAATCAACCCATTTCAGATGTCACTGAGTATTTAATTTAGTAGTTTATTTGTCAGGGAAAATGCAAAAATATAAAGGTTATAATAACATGAGATGTGTTGTCTATATGATTTCTAGTCGAGGTTTATTTGCAACCCGTGTCACTTGTTAGGCTTTTCTGCTTAAAGGGCCAGTGTGTAGGATCTTGCAAAAATGGAATATAGTAATCCAGTAGTAGTATAACTATCTTAAGTTTATAATCACTTGAAACTAACAATTGCTCTGTTTGCGTTAGCTTAGAATGAGCCCTTCTTATCTACATGGGGAGTGGGTTCTTCCTCACGCAGTCTGCCATGTTTCTACTGCATATCTATGTGTATCTGTATTCAGGATGAGATCAAAGTATGTACATACCTTATGTATTGTAAAATACTATTAATTCAGTCAATTGCTGACATGTTTTTTTTGATTGACTTCAATCCAGTACAGTGAATAACCCACAGTCTTTCTGTTGCCCTGTGTTTGTCCAGGCCCTTAGTGAAGAAGCAGGGAAGCTGCAGACTGTCATCAACCAGACCCTGCAGGCTCTGAGCTGCTGTACCGATGAGGAGCATGGACGGGGCTCGCTGGAGGAGGCTGAAGCTGAAAAACTACTCTTGGTCTCCTGTAAGATATTTTCTTTGTTTTTGATGTCCCGTATTTGTGTGCAACAGAGAAGAAGCTATGTTCACACTATTGGGTTCTTTTAGATATGACTGCCTCAACAGCAATCACATTCTTTTAAAATGTTCTTATTCTTACATACAGTTGATAAAATAATACAAACAGAATAACTGTATTAATAACAAAAGACACATGCATACATTTGTCTGTTAATTTAAATTTGGGGAAAGCAAGAGAAACCAGCAACGGTAAGCTAGAATTTGAAAGTATCCAATCAAGAAAATCTCAGCCCCTTCCTCTAAGGCCACTTTCCAAACTACATCTGGGGGACAAATCCGTGAGAGAGACGTCCTCATGTCTCATTCACATAAAACACCTAACATAGTAATTGAAGTAAACAACTACCATGGCTATTGTTGGTAACAACCACCAATCTGCTGATGGATTCTGACTTTGACACGTTTTCAATACTCATTTGTCTTATTCCACATATTTGTCAGTTGTGTCTAAGTATCAAACATTTCATGGGGGCCGATTGAAATAGTTGGACGGGTTTATTACAGGTCTTTGGTAGACACAAATATGAGATTTCTTTTTTTTTTTTTTTTTTAGAATCTTTTTTTTTTATTTATTGATTGCTGTTGGGACATAAAGACAATTTCAATAAATGGAACAAAAAGGCTTCTAAAATTTGCCCACCCTAGTTTTAATATGATTTTCATCTCTACTACTACTTTCCAAAGCTTGAATAATTGTATTCAAAGCCTAAAAAGAGTTTTTCTAAATTTTTATTAAATTATCCAGGGGCAATATATTTTCGTGTCAGTTTGCCCACTTACAAAGAAATGAACGGTCTATAATTGTAATGGTGTGTTTATTATAACAGTGAGAGACAAAATATCAAAAAGAAATCCAGAAGTTTGGATGGTCTTGTAGCCCATTCCAGCCTTGTGGCCCATTCCAGCCTTGTGCAGGTCTGACATCCTTCGACAGCTCTTTGGTCTTGGACAGCCTCGAAACCTTCAGGATTTGGAGAGGATCTGCAAAGAGGAAATCCCTCCTGAGATGTCCCCAAACCTGGTGACCAACTACAAGAAACATCTGACCTCTGTGATGCCAACAACGGTTTCTCCACCAAGCACTGAGTCATGTTTTGCTAGGGGATCAAATACTTATTTCACATAATCAAATGCAAATCAATTTATAACTTTTATATGATGTGATTTTCTGGTTTGTTTGTTGTTTTTTTGGATATTCTGTCTCTCACTGTTATAATCGACCTACCATTACAATTATAAACCATTCATCTCTTTGTAAGTGGGCAAAGTTACAAAATCGGCAAGGGATCAAATACTTATTTCTTTCACTGTATATCTCAGGAACGCCGGGAGGGAATTTCTTCAAATTTGACACATTCGTCCACTTGGACTCAAGGGTGAACTAATAACATTTTGTTGGTCAAAGGTCACTGTGACCTCACAAAACACGTTTTTTTTGGCCATAACTGAAGATTCATATCCTTATTATGACAATTTCACACAAATGTCTAATAGTATAAAATGATAAAGTGAGGACATTTTGGACAGACATGGATGTATACTGCAACTTGACTGGTTGACGGAGGCATTCTAGTTTTAGTATCGTTCTGTTACTTATAATTCTTGTTATTTACGTGTCTCTCTCAGGTGAGAAACGCTCGGCCCTGCTGGCAGAGGTTGCAAGAGTGAGAGAGGAGAGGAACTCGGAGTCAGGAGAGGACAGCGAGTATGTTTCCCAGCAGGCCTGCAGAGGGACCGTCGGCATCACAAAGATCCAGCTGCCTCTCAAGGTGGAATTTGTCTGCTCCTCCCACAAACGCACAGGTAGCACACTGCCTCATATTTAACATTATTTTGATGCATTTGTAAAATAGAAAATAACTATTTCAAAATGCAGAGCTTATTTAATAATATAGTGGCTACATTGAAATTATTGAATTTTTTTATGTAACAATGTAGGTCGGCCAAGTCACTACTTTTTCGTGCTGATCCGCTACGGGCCCTGCAACATCGTCGCCACCCCGCTGGCCACGGCTGCTGATGCTCAGAATGGAGACACCATCTCCTTCCCGACTTCTGTCACTCTGTAAGCTGCTTTGTGGTTACTTCATTTGACACATCTCATACACTGCTCCTGGCACCAATTTTCTGCATTTAAGTCGAGTCAATTTGCATCTTACTTACGGTCTTTTTCTGATTTGACACATGGTCACATTCAGACAACTTAAGCCAAATTTGCGAACTTTTTTGGACAATCTCATGTTGAGGTTCTAAAATATGATTTTGCTCACTTATATATATTATATGAATTTATAGATGATTGCATATAATATAGTTTGTCTTCTTGGTATTTCAGGAAAGATATCCGCTCATCCTTTGAGATTGATGTGGAGGTCTACAGCCTGGTGAGACAAAACATATGACATTTTGATGGGCAGCCCTGTTACATATTCATAAAATATTAGCTGAAATAATACAATAGCGGTTCGAGAAGTGTGTTCCCCTTTGTAGATTCACATTTACAAGTTTCCTATTTTATTTATAAAACTGTTCCATAACACTGACGTGGGACTATGCCAGTCATAACGGCATTAAATAGCCTAATATAATATAATATAATTGTTTTTTTAATGTGCTGGTCTTTGTGCCTCCTAGTCCCACACATCAGGTAGTAACTGCAGCGTGGACCGGACCACCACCAAGTCACGGGTGAGTCAGTGAGCCCAACAATGAGCCAGGTGTGCAATTATCAATGACAATCTAAGTCCGTTATGTTGTCCTCACACATTCAGGTCACACCAAGAAAGCTTCTGAACACTATCACAGTGAGTATGCCTAGATATTATAGTATGTGTTGCTGTTTTTCACATTTCACCCAAACCTTTTCTTTTGTTTTCAACAGAGATCCAGTAACAGTCTGACATGTAAGTTGAATTTATTTTGGACAGTATTTATTATAGTACATTCGGTATACGAAAAATATAATGTGAATTTTATATGGGGCCAACTCTACTGCAAGTCAAGCATATTACTGACTGACTATTTCAGTTTGATATGAGTCTTCATTCTGAGCTTCTCTGTCCTTCAGCTGCTGCTCTTCCTGCTCTCAACACTCGTCGCTCCAGCAACTTTTTTTTGGTGGGCTCCCACAAGATCACCTTGTCCTCGCTGGGACACAGCAAGTTCCCTCTGGATAAGGTACATACTGCCAACATGTGTTTGAGAAGGGATGCACACTCTGTTTTTATTAAAGGTTAATACACATCCGCCTTACTCTGCCCCAGGAGACAGTGTCTGCTGCTGAAATGTGTCCCTCGGAGTGTTGCTCAGTCGGATCATTTTGATGGTTAAAAATGAACGAACCAATAGATTGATACCGATAGATTCTGCTCGAGACTTTTCAGTTCTATGAAACAAGCCCTAGCTACATCAACTTGGATATCTTTGTCAGTTTGGAAAGTAAACAATAACATTTCATGTAGTTTGATGGATTGTTTTGTAAGTGCAGACAGTAAATATTTTCTTCTGGTAATTGTTAATTGAATTGAAGCATTCAGATGGTAAAAGTATGGCCCATTTCACACACCCACAGTCACCAGGTTTAGCACCTCTCTGCGTTTCATTTCTGACCTCCAGCACTGACCAACCAGAGAAGAAGCACAGTGCTACAGGCACCACTATTCACCCATTGGGTGCTTTTATTATTCTGTTAGAAGTTTCCACACATGGTTGAGCTCACTGGTGATGTAATATGTCTGCCTCCCTCCCCCCTTCTCTGTCTTTCTTCCTCCCCTCAGATGAAACTTGAGGGCAAAATCAGGAGGCTGCTGGGAGATGAATTTCAGGAAAAGGTTTTCACAACGCTGCAAGCCCTTCACCGTTTCCCTTTGCAAAAACTAACCTCGTCTCTGACCGTACAAATTAACCGCCGCCTCAGTCTTGATAGTATTTGTTTGTGCATGAACTTCCATATGATTAGGTCAAGCTCTTTCCCATTTGATCTGAAAAGTCAAAGGCAATATCTATTCTATTGACTCCAAAAGTCAGTACATGTGAAAAAACCTAGTGTGTCAGTGCTTCAAGGGATATCTACTTCCTGGTGCACAAACCCTTGATGTGAAATGTATTTGTAGACATGTTCTCTGTACATGTTTCTCTGCTAAAAGCTTGCATCATTTCATCTTGATATCCAGGAGGAAACAAGCAGCATAGAAACTACACTTCTAATCAATCATTAGTCACTGTCATTTCACTGTGTGTGTGTGTGTGTGTGTGTGTGTGTGTGTGTGTGTGTGTGTGTGTGTGTGTGTGTGTGTGTGTGTGTGTGTGTGTGTGTGTGTGTGCGCGCGCGCGTGTGTGCGCCATCTAAATGTACGATAAGAATTTCAGTCCGAAACGCAGTAGTCGCCATGGTGATGCCTACTTATAGTGACGCTCAATGTGTCTAACAGTTATAAATGAAATATCTTGAAAGTCAGTTTAATTTCAGTTTGCTTTTCTTAACAAAAATAAATGAGGAGCATGTTGGAATGAAATTCTTCAAGACATAGTTTTCTGTTTCTTGCTTCTCTTCATGTCTTCCACATCGTACCAGTTTAACAGCGTGTCTCCCCGTCTCTTCCCTGGTCCACAGGTGCCTTTCCTCTCACCTCTAGAGGGCAACATCTACCTGCAACTGGACAGCGAAAGTCACTCTAATGTCCATCACCACGGTTTCCTGGTTAGTAATGTGATGTTGCTTATTTTCCACAACTGTCTGACCACATTACAATGACGTCTTTACGTCACATTACATTTGTTGAGCAAACGCTTTTATCCAAAGCTACTTAAAATATGTGCATTCAAATATGTGCGTACAACCCCAAGAAGAAGAGTCAAATACGCATGTCTACCTAAAGTATTCCATTTAAAGACGATAGATAATATTCTATGGGCCATGTGCAGTCTGAACAGAGTTTTCAGTCTGCGATGGAAGATGTGTGGAGTTTCTGATGTAGATGTGGAGTTTCTTCCACCATTGTGGAGCCACGACGGCAAACATTTTGTAGAGCGTTAGTTGGGTAACGGTTCAGGCGTTTGACATTAGCAGAACATAGTGGACGGGCTGGGATGTATGGTTTGACCACGTTCTGGAAGTAGGATGAGCCTGGGGCATTCGCAGCACGATAGGCAATAATCAGTGTTGAGTCTGAGCCAGTGCAGGCTGTGGAAGAGCGGGGTGATGTGGGAGAACTAGGGGGTTGGTTGAAGACCAGCCAGACTGCTGCGTTCTGGATGATGTGCAGAGGCCAGGAGCGAGTGGAGATTGCATCTGCAGGGGCTGGTTGTTGAAGAGGTGTTGGCAGCAAAAGACAGCTGGTCATTTAGTGTCACACACTTGAAGTCCAAGTCGAGGACACCTCAGTGATGGAGAGGTCACTGACTGGACGGGAGTCGAGGCTTAGCTTCAGGTTAGGGTTGAGAGATGTCAAACCACAATGTGACTCTGCTCGTCTCGTCTGGCTAACAAGCGATTTTTAGTTTGGTGTCATACTGTTTTCCTTAAATGTTGGAAAACTGAAACTGCATTAAACACTTTTTTTTTTTTTTTTTTTTTTTTTTTGGATCTGTTCCCAGACGATGTTTGAGTTGATCAGTGGATACGGGGTGTGGCATCGCCGATATTTTGTTCTGGTGGGATGCAACATGTACTACTGGAACCACCCCAACGACAAAGAAACTAAGGTACAGACAGACATGCAGACTAAGTCGGCAAGTCACTTTTCAATTAATTCTTGTTTTCTGTTTTTCATGCCCCAGGATGCAGAGGGCAGCATTTCTCTGTCCAGCTCCCACAGTCGGTGCGTCAGGCCTGTGAAGAGGGACTCGTGTGCTCGACCTTTCACCTTCGAGCTGGTCAGCAACGTCCCACAGCAGCAAGACGCCAGCGCCAAGTAAGACCGAGTAAAAACCAAACACCCTGAAGTATTACATCTGTGGGGAGATATGGATTGTACTCAACGTTACAATCGTGTGTGTGTGTATATGTATATACTGTATGTATGTATGTATGTATGTATGTGTATATAAATATAAATTGCCACTTTTGTGTACAGGAAGCATGTTGGTTTTCTGGATGTCAGTCAGAGGGTGTTTTACTTTCGTTGGTTGATGGTGAAACGCCTTTTGTGACATCGGTGATTGGGTTGTTTCTAGAAATGTCTTTTGACAGTATGATGACTGTTAAAGAATTAATTTGGTGGAAAAATACGGTTGTCCATGATTTTACAGTGAGTTTACCAAAATAGGACAATGTCTTTTACCCTGCTATACAGGCTCACTAGCATCTATAACGGGCAGCTCTGGCTTCTCTGACGGTTCTCACAATGCTGATGGTTGTTGTTCTTGTTCAGGTGTTGGTTTTCTGCCGACACCAAACAGGAGAGACTGGACTGGATGGAGAAACTCAATCAAGCGCTGTTGGACTTTAACACGTGGAACCAAACATCAGCAGCACAAACAGAGAGTCAGCAGTCGAACCCGTCCAGCATTGGGAACCTGAGGGAGAGCATACTGTGACTACGTCACTAAGCCAGCAAACCCACTCGCATGTGCTTTCTTATAGTTTCAGCTGCCTGGTGTTCATGAAAAACACAGTGGAAGCAGCTTTTATGTGGCAGGTAGACGAGCGGCCATCAGGGTTTAGATTCTTTATCTCAGAGATGAGCTTCTTCTTTAACGGCTCTGTTTCACAGTTAAAATATAAATTTTTCTTTTTTGGGAGGTATCTATTTGATTTTCATACTATTGTTTATTTCTTTTTTTAATCTGAATCCAATGTGTACTGTTTTTTTTTTTTTTTTTTTTAACTATTATTTGCAGAGTTAGTTTTATTTTGACTTTTCGTGGCAATCGGCTGCTTTAGCCTTTGTTGGCAATTTATTTGGGTCACTTTCAGAAGCTAAAATGAAACTTCTTGTAGCTTCTATATTTTTGAGCTAATTTACACATGTATTTAGAATCGTATTGTTTTTGTATCATTTAAACCGGAAGGATTAAAACATTTATATAGATACACTAATACATATTGAAGGATATCTGTAACTCTACTAAACTAATGTAGGATGAGAATATATTTGAAATGGTAGGAAACGCTACGAGTTATTAGAATATAGAAGGAATGCTAGATCGTTGGAGCCTTTCGTAGTCATCCAGACATACGGTATCTGCTTCTGTTGGGTGAAATAATAAGGTTTGGATCATGGGCCCAGTCGATCCAGTCTAGGTGGAAGCAGGCTGATATTTGGCTGCTGTTTCAATATAATTCGATTGAACTACACTTGGTGTCTTTTTTTTTTTTTAACTAAAGAAGTAACCAGTTAAAATGCCAGTACAACGCATCACTTGGGGGTTCTACCTCCTAGTGCCTCGCGGTGTTCCCTCACATTCCCAGGTACATGATTTGTATTACTGCACATGCATAAGCCCATATAATTACATATTTAAACCCATATTATGTCTGTAATACAGCAGATGAGATAAAAGAATGAATGTAGTTTGTTCTGCCTGATGTCTCTGTTCTTTCACATGTATTTCCACCTGTCAGTCTGTCACTTTGTCATGAATGTTTGTGAACTCTCATTCTATGCACTTGGAGCTATCTATACAATAAATGGATTGAAATAGCTACAAAATATGTTTATGAACTTGACCAATCCAGGCAGGAGTTTTTCATACATAAGCTGGTACAAAAAGCTAATAATTCTAATTTATGACTATATATAAATATTAGATTATATCACTTTAATATTTCCATTTTCTTCCCAATAGAAAACATGCTGAAAACAGTGTTATTTCAAACCAATGTCCCAGACAAATCTATTTATTAGGTTTAAATACTCCCCCATGTCATTACATTATACCACAGAGACCTTTACGTGCACATATGCAGGAATGTAAAGGTGAACCACAGATGTGCTATACGTACGGAGAGTCTGGCAGGAAGGCAGCTCATGTCAGGAATGTCATACAGGAAGTGGTCTAGAATTAGACTTCCTGTTGGTCCCATTGCTCCTCTGGGTGAAGGCCTTGCTGGGTGTTACGGAGCTCAAGGTGATTACGACGACGGATCGGTGCAGCACATACAGTTGCGTTGAAGCGGCCAACACGGTTGTTAGCGCGTTAGTGTAGCCTGGGCGGTGGTTCTATACAATAAATTTCTGGGTTTGTCAGCAATTTCTTTCATTGCAGATTTAAGTTCAGTACGTAAAGTTAGTGCAAATTATTGAGATCTATCCATATAAAACCTTTTTAAAACTCAGATTTTACTCAATCTGACCAGCTTCTTCATTTAATTTTTGTTACGTCTTCGTATGCACATTTGTCTCTTATGGTGGCACTAGAGCAAAGGTCAGCAGGTCACCAACATCTGGGGATCAAGAACGTCTGCGGTAAATTTCACATCAATGGGACCGGCTGTCAAGTGTTGACTGGCGACGAAAGCTCTGGATGTTAGACTTCATGTTTAACTCTTGATTTCATCCTGCAGGACGGCTGTAAATGCACGTCAGATTGTTGTTGGACACAGCAGATGGAGGATCAGTGTGACGAGACTGGGGACCGGCAGGTCAGCTGGCTTGTCCTTAGCGATGACAACTAAGGACAACAACATCTGACGGGAACACATTCTGCACAACATCCTGGTGCGTCAGCCTCTGCTCTACTCCTGACACGGCTCTGAAGGAACGTGTTCCTGTGTGGCAGAGATGTAAGAGATGATACTGAGGTGGGTGGCCTTGTTATTGTGACTAAAAAAAGGCAGCCACCTTGACCGGAGGAAGGTTAAAGAGTTGTTCAACACAGGATTTTTGCATCTTACAGTCTAATGCTCTTACACAATGATGTATCCCATATTCATATTTTGTTTTAGTCTTTCGGGTCATTGTTTCGGTTCCATGGCACGAAACCTTACCGTTTGGATCTGCTCTCTCAGCGTCGTTTCCAGCATCAGCTTCACATAGTGGAGCATTTAGCAGCTAAAGAGCCAGAGTTGATGGAGACCAAAACAAAGATGAACATAGGGTGACTTTTGGACTTATGAGGTGGCCAGAAACACAACTTCAAATAGATGCTAAGCTGCTCGATGTTTTTTCGTGTAAATTCTCCGTATCAACTTTGCACTGAATCCCAGGTGGCCAACATATCAGTCATTCCATATTTAAATTGGTGTCATCTTAATGTTTTGTCATTGTTCTAGAGATACCCGGACTAAGTCATGGGGAGGGTCCAAAGAAAATAATAAATGTGGGAGGGTCTAAGTCAAACATTCAGTACCTTCCCCACCAAAATATCTTCTGAACAAAATAGTGAAAGAACAATTTGTTTTTCAAATGTAGCTCCCACACACACATTTTAGACTTGCATGAGAGAAATTTGAAGTGCAGCACTGAAAGCTGATGTTCCCTTGGGAAAGCGTGTTTGTGCTGGCTCCAGCTTCGGGCTCACTTGGCACGCTCCTCGCTGCCTTCTGAAGAGGTCCGGGAAGCTTGGAGGCGGAAACAGGCCAGCCGGTTCAGAGGACTTAATAAAACAAAATTCCTACCATTGGTAGTAGCTGGCGCCGGTCAAACAGCTGCAGAGGGTCAGTGACACAAGTCTTTCTGTTTCAGTGAACACATCAGTTCAGCATCAACAATAGAGCTGACCTACCTGGTGTTAAGAGAAGGTTAAGGACTCACTAATGAAGTTATGAGAACGAAGTGTGGCTTGAATCCTCTTCTGACACCTGCATATACCTTCTGATGAAAGAACAATAGCCATGGACTCCATTAGTTCTTGGCTCCTTTCTGTCTTTTACACTGGGTTATAGGCTAAAGACTTATGCATTATACATTGTTTCTTCCTGTAACACTGTTTAATTGGCTTCCCTTTACGAGGCAAGACTTTTATGGAACACCATGTCCACCTAACCCCTATCCAGCCCCTTCTGCCACCGTCTATTGTTTTCCTAGTCCCCTCCCCTCAAAATCACTTTCTCATGCTGCTTCTAATGAAAAATCCAAATTACAATTTTTAATTTAATGCTCATGTGATCGTGTTCTTTTTGAGGCTATCAAGACACAATGACCCAAGTTTGACCACAGTTGTACCAATTACACAAAGAAGATGAAACATGTTAATTAGTGAGCCGATGGAGACAGATTTTGTTACCCCTAGGGGAGAGTCAGGCTGGTTGTTTCCCCTCGTTCTCAGTCTTTGTGCTATAAGCAAACCAACTTCTTGCAGTAACTTCATATTTATCATACGTGGTATCGATCTTCTCATCTAACGTTTAGCAATAAAAGTAAATTTAAGTGTTTCCCAAAATGTCGCACCATTCCTTTAAAACTCAAAAATGTACATAGATGAGCATGCAGTTCATTCTTGAGCTTGACAATTGAAAAGTTTGAAAGAACCCAACCCCTAGGTCCGCTTACTAGCTCTCTCCAGAGCTTTCAACCGCATCACATGGCATTCATGAGAGGGCGGGGTTTTGTTGACCTGCTACCTCAGTGGCTGGTAACATTTCATCCGTAATATATTTCTATTTATTTCGCCTGATGATGATAGCGTGGCTGAAAACTTTGAAATCTCAAAGCTGAGGTAAATATTCTGCTCTATTGTTATTTACCATCTTCTCAACTGGCCCCTGAATATAGCACACATCTCCCTATCCCTGCCCCTTTCTTCCCTTGACCTCCCCCCCCACCCTCCAGCATTATTCTCTTCCCTCTCCTCGCCCTGCTCCTTTCCTGCCGGCCTCTCAGCAAAGGATGTGTGTCTGGGAGAGAGTGTGTGTGTGTGTGTGTGTGTGTGTGTGTGTGTGTGTGTGTGTGTGTGTGTGTGTGTGTGTGTGTGTGTGTGTGTGTGTGTGTGTGTGTGTGTGAGTGAGGGGGAAGAGGAAAGCAGTCAGTAGAATGGATTTTTGCCCGCTCTCCATGCGTCCTCCTTCTTCTCTGTCTCATTTGTGTCCCTCTTCATCTTCCTCTGCCAGCGTTGCACCCTGGGCACCCTCAGTGCCAGCCCTCGGGGAAAAAGAGAGTCGTCTGGCGGACAGGCAGCTGAAAACCCAACTCCAATGTCTGCCAGGGATCTGAAGAATGGACAGGATGAACTAGAAGGTAACTGGAGGCACACACACTCACGCACACACTGTTTGCCAGCTGACAACATTGCTAAAAGGCCGACACCCACTTCTTCTAAAGTCTCTCGATAGCTAGAGACAAAACAAAGCGGTGAATGGCTGCAGTGTGGCCTGTCTTTGACAGAAATGAATGAACTGTTTCAAATACAAAAATCATTCAAGTATTAAGTTTAGAGTGATGCATCAATTTGTGGGCGGACCCTTTAACATTTGCCAGCCAGTGTCAACCACCCTTAGTGTGATGAAGGTTCCTCCCTGATCACAGGAGCTGTGATCAGGCTGTCAAATCTCGAGTATGTTTATGAAAAAACAAGGACTTTTTCTTTTAAGAGCTACACTACATCAGAGTCAGTTTGGTGTCCTCTGATGGCCCAAATGTTTATATATAACCTCAAAGTCCATTCAGTAATTGTTATGGAGCTGGCAATCATATCACATGACAACTTTGCCTAGTTTCTACTGTAGATGGTCCGATTTCCATTCTTTTATGTACACTTTAAGGACTTTCTTAGATAAAAAATACAATTCCATGACCACTGGGATTGAGGATCATGCCATATGATCAAAAGCTCCACAGCTATTTGAAGCTTGCTGGTTCCGAGGCCAAGAATTAACCTTGAATGCTCAAGTAATTTTTAGTACTTTTCTACCTGGAAAAAAATTAAGAAAAATGTTTATTTCATTTGTAAAAAAAAAAATGAAAATTGCAAAATTTAAAGGGACAGTGTAGGATTTTGCAGAGACAGATTAACAAAAGTGGTCAAAATTGGTGCAGCAGAAGTCAAAATAACCTGGTATTGGTCAAACTGTCGAAAACATGGATCCTAAACTTTCCATATTTGAACTCCGTAGCATCTTTTGTGTTCCTGTGACTAGTAAATTGAGATTAACATGTAAAATCGGTGAAGTGTCCCTTTAAAGATACAGAATATCTGCATTTAAAAAAGCATTTTAAGCATAGGCCTATCAGAAGTAGGTCTGCCGTCAAACCAGCTGTAATTCTCCACCATGTGCCATGATGACCTGAGGGTTTGTTAGTTTCTATATTTCCACGATTAGTCGACTAATCCGTAATTTTGTTCTGAGACAAGATTTCTTGAGGGCTAACCTCGACCATAGAAATTCTCAGTCAACTAACACAAAAGCACCACTTTAAAGTTGTGTTTACCAGTTGTGTTAATAAGTTCCTTGTAAATTAGTCATAAAAATGCGTAACCAATGACTAATCGATTAAAAATTCAATGTCATCTGAGGCCAAAACGACCAATTATTCGACTAGGAAGGGGCCGCCCAAGATTTCTTTGGTCTATTTGACGTTTTCTTTAGATGCTTTTTTCATGCTGAATAACTTATTTATAGAAAAAGTAGAAGGCACATCTCTGGTAAACACAAAAGTGGTGCTTTTGTGTGATTCTTTGTGGAGAAAATCAGTTTTACAGATCTGTCAATTTATCAACTAATTGAATGAGTGTTAGTCGACTAAGAATTCAATTTCGTCGAGGACAGTCCCTGCTGGTTTCCATAGCAAACTGCCTTTATCACAGCACTATAGTGCGGTAATCAGTGAGTAACCGCTGTGTTTTCCTCTGTGCATCAGCCCCGGCTTACATAACTCATCACTTTCCTCAAAGTAAGCTCTGTGGTTTATTGTTGTGCAGAGTTGCTGATGATGCTGTTTCAGCTCTCAGACTTTAGTGTTGGGGAGGGACAGCAGGGTGTCCCATGACCTTGTCTGAGACAGAGATGCTCCTGTTTGTGGGAATTGAGACGTCCAAACAGCTACACAAAAACTCATTGAGTGGCTGTGCTTACCATGCACTGTGATGCATGCTTAATCTATCTATTTTATCTTATCAACAAAGCTTTCAACCTTAAAGTGACAGAGCAACTGCTCAATGTTGGTGACCTAGCACAGCGCATAACTCACTGATCAGTAAATTATTCAACTAAGACCAATGAGGATGTGTCATTCAAATGGCAGCATTGTCACTTTACTCTTGATTGTGTCTGAGAAATGATATCTTGCTACCAGACCAGCCGGCTGACAACAGAGACTCAGCTTTTTCTGCCATAAAAAGGTCCTCTCCATAACGGTTAGTGGTGCACCGGTTCATAAAACAGTTCGGATCGTATCACGGATCGGCTCAAAAATCACAAAAGAAAAAAGGGAGAAAATATAACTTTTAGAGATTCCTGATGATGTTGTTTTGCCGCTGATACAACTTGCAGATCATTGATGATCCATATTGGCAGATACAGATCCCTTTGTTTAATTATAGCAGCTGGTCTACAAGGCTTCAGGCTTTTTCGCCACCATCCCAAACATCATTTCAACCAGTTGCAGACCTCCGCAATAAAGCACAGCAGGAAACTAACAGTGGCTTGTGTATCGCAGTGTGAAGGAGTTCTCAGTATTGAGACCAAGCCAGCTACTATGTGGTGCTGCTGCAGTACTTTTCTCAAATGTGTCTTATGTGTGCTTTTTAACGAACCGAAAAGGGCAAATTTAGTGAAAGCTGTGATGATGCAACAGGCCAGTAACCGTACTGAATCAGAATCAGAATTAGTTAGCTCGAGCTAACTGACATCACCTAAACATCAAGGAAGGAAGTCAAAATACAACTAAGATTTTACGATTTATATTACGGTAATTGTCTTTCACATTTTTCCATCAACACTATATTCATGATCTTAGAAGGTACATGGTAGTGTAATGAATGTGAATGTAAAAGGATTGTATGCTAACTAACTGAAACCAACTAAATATACTGTAGCTGCTGATTTGTTTTTTTGTTTGGTAGTTTAATAGTTTCAGCTTCTTTTCCCTAATCCCTTGTTTTTGTTGCCAGTGGGCTTTATTGTAATTTTTACATTTCCTGGAAAAATGTGATTCTCCACTCGACTTTAACGTCCCTTTTGTAGAATCTGAACAATTCTGACATTTGCGACTTCCAGTGGTATGATATCGGCAAAAAGATATCGGCAAACAAAAAACACATGCAATCAGAAAATGTTATATTTACATGAAATAAAATCTAGACGTTGGGTCGTTAAAAGAGTACTCCACCGATGTAGCATTGCACTCCCACACAGCTGTCTAATGAGACTAATGTTTGTAAAGGTGCTAAATTCTACATTCAGAGCATGTCTATGATTGAGGGATTGCCTCCACATGGCTGTCAACATGGTGACGGCTAAGCCGGGGGCTAGCAGCTAACAGGGCACACGTAAACAACGGCAACAGCACGGACAGAGCTAACGGTGTTAAGCAACTTCACTGCCAACAGTTGACTTAGAGATTTAGGTGTGTCATGATGGTAGCGGCTAATGTAGCCTCGGGCCGCCAGCCCCAAGCAGATTTGAGGTTACGGAGGTCTGGTATGCTCACATGTTTCCAACTCCAGCACCATTCAACAATCACTCAAGTGACATCACGTGAGGACATTTATCAAATTTTGCATAGCTTCCCCTGGAGCCACAAACGGCTTTATACAACTCGGTACAGCCCAAGACCTTTCAACATACTTTCATGTGTAGAATGGCTGAGTTTCCTTTTAACACAACAAATTGCAGTTATGTCTTCAGAGGTGCTCTATCTCCAAGAAATGCGTCTGAAATTAAATATACAATCTATTTTATTGGTTAGGGTTGTCTCCAGACCGAACATGTACCTTTTGCCATCTGTTACATGGAAATATTTGAGAACCCCTGGGTGGTGCAGTTACATATATTTTAGAACAATAACGTTATTCTTCCCCTGTGCTCTGTCTATCTTTCTGTCAGACGCGGTGCCGGTGGCTAAGGTGTGGCCGGAGGTGGAGAGGGCCGAGTGTTTGGCCCGCGGCGCAGCCCTGAAGTGGGCGTCGTGTGTTTTCTGCCGGCCTGAGCACCTGGAGCGACTGAGCCAATACAGGAAGAGAGAAAGTCAAAGGACTTCCTCCATACACACCAGACTCAAGGTGACATCACAGACACATGAACACATACTCATTATGAAACAATGTGACCTCAGTTTATTAAATGATCTCGTAAATTGTTGCAGCTGTGCACGTTAGAAGAACTTGTTGTAGTTCTAGTAACCACTGTACTGCTGCTTTCCTTCCAGTCCATGGTTCAGTCGTACCTGGAGGGGGTGGGCTGGGGTCTGGAGCAGCTCCGGGAGGCCAGGTTCGAGTTGAGGGAGGTGTCGCACACTTTGAAGAAAGCAGGGCTGGAGTCCAGTCGGAACGCAGAGGGGGTGAAGTCCCTGGAGAGGCTGAGAGAAGTGTTTGTCAGCCACCGTCAGCTCCTCGCTGCTGTCAGCAACCTGCCGCGCCTTTACTCTGGTGAGATGCTGCACAGTCATTCATTCATCATGAATTCAGTGAATGCTTTCAACATAGAACCATAGACTGTATGTCAGAAGTGGACGTAGTCACTGTGACGTCACGTACTGGTTTGCAGACTGCATATTTTGAAGGCTTGAGTTCAGCATTTTGGCCGTCACCAGAAGTGACACGAGAGGGTGGAGCTAAGTACAACCGAACACTCATCAAGACATTTTAGGCGACCAAAATGTAACAATTAACTTTCATGAGGTGAAAAGACACTGAAAGGGTAAAAGTTGTAAGACAAAAACAGACAATTCCCAGACTAGACAACGGCGTGGTAACGACCTGTCAATCACAAGGTAGCCCCGCCCTAAAATATACCCTGCTTTATGGTCTGTCTGACTCCAAATGGACCATCATTTACTAAATGAACATCATGCTGTATTGAAGAAGACTTGAAAGTAGAGATTGAGACCATAAACCCATGTTTACAATGTTTACTGAGGTAATAAATCAAGAGAGAAGTAGTCATTTTCTCATAGACTTCTATACAACCAGAGGAGTCGCCCCCTGATGGACATTAGAGAGAATTCAAGAGTAGGCACTTCAGCATTGTCTTCACTTGTCAGACCCAGAGGTTGCCGCCTGCATAGAACATTCTACTGTGATCAATATTGTACATGGAGTAGATAGAATAGTGGTAATATATTACAAATCAGCCCTACAATAAATGCCACTTTTGTGAATCTTGTGTTGTTTATGTTGTTTAATGGTAAAATATTGAATATATATGAAATTATTCTTGCTGGAAAGTTAAACAACTTCAGTCGTAGCAGCAAGAGGTTATTGTAAGTTGTTTACAGTTTGAGAAATATAAGTGCGCCCTCCTTCCTCCCCTTCCTTGCCCTTTTGCAGTGCGTAGCATGGTGCTGGAGACGGAGCGTCTGGTGGAGTCCCGACGGCTCCTGGAGGCCCACGCCCATCTGATGGATCTGGAGCACTGGCAGGACGACATACTCTGGCAGCTCCACGGGGCTGCTGGGACGGCAGGAAGCACGCTCAGCGCAGAGGACCAGGAGCTAGTGGCCAAATACTTCTCTGGAGTCGGGCAGCTGGTGGACGCCCTGGGTAAGGCCACAGTGACATCAGTTTCATTAATCTGACTTATTCAAAAGCAAACATACTGTATATGGCAACTGTGATTGCCATATATTGGAGTAAAATCATTCTTGCACGAGGCCCATTGTTCCCTGATGCTTCTCTGATGTTGCTTTTATCTAAATATGGCTACATAATATATTATAATGTAGATGATTGTTCAGTCTTGTCATTCAAATCTAAATCAAATTCAGACAGATCACCTGCAAAGATATGGGGAGTTCAGCTAGTTTAGGGAAAAGTTAAAGCAAATTTTCTTTTGTCTTTCTTTCTTTTTGGCCACTTGGGGACAGCGGAACAAGCTCATAACACACCACTGACATAGTTTCACCTTCATTAAGTTGTTAGCAAACATGTTGGCAAAAAGGTTTGCTGTTTGCACACCCAGTGGACTCGTAGTGGCATTAGCCATTAGTCATCTTGCTGGCCGTTCACCAGCCCCAGCTACAGTAGTTGCTCACATCGTCTGTCTGCTGATTAGTTCTGGACAGCTAACCTAAAGTCAGAACCTTTTGTGAGAAAAAAAAACATTATTTTGCTAAAGAGTGAACGTCAATTGCAGCTGCAGTTGGCAGCTGTTTGGGGGGCATGGAATCCAAAACAATGAGCTAAAAATCTCTACAGAGTTGAGAGGAGCCGCATTTGGGCGATAATTATCTGTGGGTTTGTAAATTGTAACAAGCAATTTGTCGCAGCACTCGGTCGTGCACCTCTGAATTTTTGTAACAGACGTGACTGTCACAAATAGCACTGTTAACACTATTAAATTCTCCATGCCAGGCTGCGTTGTTTCAGTCATGCCCCCTGTCACTGCAGGTAAGGAGCTGTGGGCGGTGGTGAGCAGCGCTCTGGCTCTGGCCCGACAGAACCCCACGCCGTTCGTATCAGCAGTGAGGATCGTGGAGCGGGAGGAGGCCCTGGACCGAGCTCTACTGGAGGAACGAGGGGGGACCAGAGGCACCAGCAGGCCCCTGCCCCCGGGACGACCTCGCTGCTGGAGAGCATGCTTCTTCCAGGTCGTGCACCAGCTGATCCAAAGTTTTTTTTTTTTTACCAAGTTCTCTTTTTTTACATGCCTAACTGTATGTTACCTTTCTTTTGTCAGGTACTAGAGGAGGCGGTCTCAGCGCGGTTTCGCAGCATTTCCTACCTGCACACGCGCGGCCCGGGTCTAGCAGGCCACCTCTCTGCTCTCCAGCACGGCATCATAGCTGATCTGGCCACCGTGCGCCACCTGCTGGAGCACTGCGTCCCGCCGCACTACCGGCTGACGGGGGCCTACCTGAGGGCCAGCCAACGCTGTTTACACGCTCACCTGGCACAGGTCAGTGATGAGAGAGTCTCAGAACAGTAACAAGGACTATTTTTATTGTTACCCACGATCATAGTTTACATGTATTATAATAGGAACCATGAGACTTAAACATGGTCTTTAATGGATTGTCCCAAATCTATTCTTAATTAATATATTAGTTTTCTCTATGGCAATCACCAACTGGAGTTTTTCAGTTTATCCTCATTTTCATCAACTATTTTTAAAACTGGTGCCCACCTCATGATACACATTGATACTTTTGGCCTAGGTTAGCAGCTGGGACCTGGAGAGTGGTGAAATCTTTGCTGTGCTCAACTGGGTGCTACACATCTACAACAGGTGAGATTCATGACCTGCACAGACTCTATTTAATTATTTGTCTTTCCCTCTGTGTGTGGGTTTGTTGCGGTTTGTGTAATGTTTTGCTCAATTTAAATCAGAATCAGCTTTATTGGCCATTTATGCGTACGAATACAGTGAATTTGACTCAGATTTTTTTGACGTTGCTCTCAACGCACAAACATAGAATATACAAATAAACAAGAAAAATATAAAAACAAAGACATTAAAGACAAAGTAGAACAGAGGTACGCATAAACATTTACACATTTAACTATGTACAATATAAATATATATACATGAACAATAACAATGGATTTGAGATATTAGTGCAGAATGTAGGTAATAGTGCAGTATGTCTGATTAATTGTTCATGAGAGTGACGGCCAGCGGAAAGAAGCTGTTCCTGTGTCTGGTGGTTTTGGCGTACAGAGCTCTGTAGCGCCAACCAGAGGGGAGGAGTTGGAACAGGTTGTGTCCAGGGTGTGAAGGGTCTGCAGTGATCTTTCCTGCCCGTTTCCTGACTCTGGAGGTGAACAAGTCTAGGATGGAGAGCAGGCTGGAACCAATGATTCTCTCTGCAGACCTGACAATCTGTTTCTGTCCTGTTTGGTGGCCGATCCAAACCAGACAGTGATGGAAGAACAGAGAACAGACTGGATGATGGTGGAGTAAAACAGAATCAGCAGTTCCTGGGGCAGGTTGAACTTCCTGAGCTTAACTTTAATACCTCATACTTGGTAGTTCACTGCTACTTGATAGCCATCTTTGACGTTCTCCTTATACCAGCCAGTCTCACTGAGAAAGATTGTGATGCTGTTGCCTTTGCCTCGCTCATAGACCGTAGACATATTCTGTTACAGTGGAAAAGCCCAAATCCATCTTCTACTACCTACCGGTTAAATGATTTAAAAATATATATATGGAGAAAACTTTTTTTTTTTTAAAGCTCAGATTGTGATGATGATGTTTTGGCAGCCCAGACATGATGGGTCATCCAGAGCTGGTGACCGAGATGGAGAAAGTGGAACTAGAGCCTCTCATCTCCACCGAGGGACTGGAGCAGCTGCAGAACAAATACGTGCAGAGTGTTCGGGTGAGTCCACCGTCTGGAAGTACGTACGACTACACATGTTGTGTTGGACCGCCATCATATCACATTTTCCAACAATTTGATGGATATTATCTTTTTACAAAAATGGTGATATTGAAATTGAAAGTTGCTAGGAACCATGTTAAAGTGGTAGGAACTGTAGTGGAACTACCTGTGTTATACTGATTCAGTGTGTTCATGTTGTTGCTGTTCTAGAAGTGTGTATCAGAGTGGATGCACAAAGCCCTACAAGTGGAGTTGCAAGACTGGCAGAGAGACCAGGAACCAGATACAGACCATGAAGGTTTCTACCAGACCAGCTTGCCCACTATCATCACACAGGTAAACACACACACACACACACACACACACACACACACACACACCAACCATACATTTCTTTAATAAAACCCGGAACCTCGTCAATCTCTTTTGACATCCAGTAGGAAGAATGCATCTGATCTCTTCCTTCATAAGTCTGATTCATCTCACATGCAGCTGGACCATTGGACATTCTTATCCTGGTTCTAGAGCTGCTGGACCAGCTTTTTACCCTCTCCCAGATAAACTGGAGGGTTGTGGAATGCAACTCAATTGTGCGAAGTATCTCAACATCCAGACAAGGTGTGAAGAGTGTCCAGTTTGGTGATGGTGATTGCTGATGATATTGTCACAGTTCCAACGCCTCCTGGAAACAACCTGGAAACCTGTTAATCCAAAAACAAATGTTTCTATTAGCTGAGTACTAGGCTATCAGAGCTCCCCAAAACAGATCACACTGCCATATGAATTTATAAGTTATGTTCAGGATCATATTAACGCTCAAATGGTCGTACGGGTTAGTATGGTCATGTTGTGGAAATGCTGTGAACAAGTCATGTGCAGGTTGGATGACATTACATAACGCTGCTTTCTTCCCAACTTCTTTAAAATGGTTTAATAATGTAAAGAATTGGTTAGCAAGTTCGGTTCCGTCGCTAAAGGTGACACGCAGGCTAGCTTGTTATGCCTGCAACGTTTGGAAGGTTTGTGATTAACGGTGGCTTGGAGCAATGGTTTCAAATGTGTGTCGAGAGAATTGGATAGTACTGAATTGAAAACCGGGGTCAAAAAAATCAATGGGAGCCCAAAACACTGGCTAACGGTACTTTTTTAAAACTTTGCTAACATTGCATTGTTGAAGTAAAATGGACCATTGCATGACATGCAATATCTCGTTAAAGACTATTTAATATTACTCGTTAAGGGGCTGATGAATGTATGTATGTATGTATGAGTGATGAACTGATAAAGAGTCCGTGGCAGTTAATAATCCTAGCGAACTCGTCTCTAACTTTGAATACATTTGTCATAATTTCTAATCATGTAAGATGATTTCATGGAGGAGTTATAGCCACAGACTGCACGTCGTTTAAATCAGAACCCCTATTGACCTTTTGGCTGTATTAGAACATGACCTCCAGTTTGTACTTAAAATGCTTTGTCGACGTCTTTGGTCTCTAGCTCTGGGTCGTGAACAAAAGAGTGACCTTTGTCTTCTTCTGTTTTTAAACCTACTCTAAGCAATTGACCTACCTTTCAGCATCATAGCATCACATTACCCGCAGCAGCAGCATCATATTATATCATGTGTTTGGTGGATCTGCTTTATAAAACCATGGCAGATGCTGGAGGAGAACGCCCGGGTGGCTCGGATGATTGGAGAGTCCCTGCGAGATCAGACGATACAGATGGGCCTGTATGAGATGGAGAACCTCCTAAACAGGTGTGCATTGATGCAGGTTGCGCTTGAGGATGCCTGTCAGCCTTTTTTTCCCAGTATACAACAGCAAGGGGAAAGCCTTCACTTTCACTTGTAGTGGTTGTTTTTCGTTGTTGATGATTACATTACATTACAGTACAGTCATTTAGCAGATGCTTTTATCCAAAGCGACTTACAATTCAGATTCTATCATTCATATACCGTAGGCACAGCCAGGGGAGCAATTTTGGGGTTAACATCTTGCTCAACATGCGCCGAAGCCGGGGATCGAACGGCCGATCCTCTGATTGAAGGACAACCCTGCTTTCCACTTAGCCACAGTTGCCCTGATCAGCTTCTTTGACTTGATGACTTTTAGTTAAAACACAATTCCTAACGGCTGGCTCAGTAACTGTTATCTATCTGACTCGTGGTGAGACACCACAGGATCTCACTATTAGGAACTCCGTAACGAACACCCACAGAACACAAGAGAGATTGGATTTTTGTTCAGTCCACGCAGGTTTATTTGCATCACACAGAGTACAAGTAAACCGAGTTGTCCCTGAATCAACTAACTTCACAATAGCAATGTACCTCACTTCATACCTTCATTCTGCTCTAGGTTTGGGTAATTTTGATTAATCACAGTCTATTTCCCCACTCGTCTTCCTCTGATTTAGCGTCAGTGGCAGCAGGTCAACGTGACCGGCTCCTGTTTCCCATCCGTTAGAAAACCTGCATTACTTGAACATCTGCTTCACCCCCCCTCTATCTTCACCCAGGCTCCTAGGCCTCTATGCTTACCCACCTACTCTCAAGGGAACAACAAAGTGTCTAGGACAGAGAGTCAGTCGACAAGCAAATCCACCTGAGATTAGCTTGGTTGAGTTGTGCATGTTTACGTGCGGCAAAACCTAGGCCCTTCTTAGTCCCTTGGCTGTCATAAATTACAGCGCTCTGCGTGCTTTTTCTCCTGATTTCCCTTATACCCGTCATCAGTGGACGTTTCTCTAATTGTAGTCTGACTGTGTCCTTTCTTTTACCCCCTGACATCCTGTTTCCCATACACACAATTGTAAAGTAGGTTTTTCAAAGATTGAACTTTACTTTACCTGCGTATCAAAAGGTTACAAGGTTAAGGCGGCCAAAAGAGCACAGACACCCTGCCTCAGTGATGTGAATATCATATGAAAATGATACAGGCCAATATCACAGTATGAATGTGAATATACATGAATACATTTCAAATTATGGATATGATTTTACACAAATATATTTCCAGACACACACATACATTTTTCTCCCACACACCCTTTCATTCACCTCCATTCCTTCACATCACAGGTTTCGAGAAGCTCTGGTGGAATTTGGGAAAGAGCATCGCAGGGATCTGAGCAACAACAAAAACAAGTTCTACTTCCACTATCTGCTGGCATCCATCAGCAACTGCATCATCCTCAAGTGAGACAATGGCAGCTTTCAAAGCTTTATTACACAAATGTTTGGACACACATAATGGATTACTAGATTCACTTTGTTTCCATGCTCCGGGAGAGGTACTTCATACTGTAAATAAGGATCAGTTTCTTCAGGTCAGCAAAAAAGATCAAGGTCATGTCCATTTACCACACGATAAGTCGATAACATATCAATGATCACGGTCATGTCCATATATCGTACAATAAGTCGATAACTATCAATGATTGAGGTCTTGTCCATATATTGTACGATAAGTAGATAATGTAAAAATAATGGAGGCCTGATCAAGGCGGTGCTGTCTGTGTAGTGGTCCTCCCATCACAGCACATTACAAGAATTGACAAAATATAACAACAAATACAGGCCTGAATCAAATCCACGTTGTCCTTTGTTTTCGATACAGAAAATCCACAGAGAGTCTGCAGAAGCAGCAGTCGTCCCGCTCGGCGGGACAGTTCTCTCGGACTCCTCCAAACCCCCTGGCAGCGCTGGACCGGGCGGTGAGACGGGCGTGTTGCCTGGTGATGGATCAGCTCCTGCTGGACCTCCAGCCCTTCCTCCCGGGCCTGCTGACCCGATCCTGGCTGGTCCAGGGAGACCCCACCCCCAAACTCTGCCGCGTCCTCGAGCGCCACCTGGAGATGCACGGCCGCGTTCGACCACCCTGCAGACAGGTCACCGCTTGGCTCTGAATCTGTCTGCACTGTGTAGATGCTATTTCAGTTGCACAGACATTTCTCAGCAGTAGAGCTGTTTTTGACAATATATTGTCCAAAGGTTCTTCTGTGGTTGCAGCTGAAGAACCTTCTTGTTACCCCAAATATTTTCTCCATGTGTGTTAATGTACATTATGTGGTATAAGATTATTTATTTCTTGAATACCTCAAAAAAACAAATATGCCCACTGCAGTCCAAATGTATGAATATTTATCAAACCAGGAATTCATCGTATGACTACGTAAATCATAAACTCAAAACTTTTGCCCATTTATGCTTTTGGCCCAGTGTCAGCTGAAATCATTTTAGAAGGCAAACCAATAGCTCTTGAATTTTCTACCTTGTGATTGACAGGTCGTTGCCAGAGCCATATATGGTGTTTCTACTACGGTGCCACTCCTTTGACTCCAAATATGATCACTTCCGTTCACTGGTTGCAAAAATCCAAGATGGCGACGAGCAAAATTACGAACTAGAGGCTTCAAAACCGAAGTGCACAAACCAATGCGTGAAAGTCACGACGACTATGTCGACCTCTTATCTATGATCCAAGGATATATATTTCTAAAATACTTATTGCAACATAATGTTTTGTAGCCCGACATCTTGACTGGAGCTGCTTCACTCTGCTTACAGGAGACATGTCCTTGTCATTGCTCTGAACCTTGTGTCATGTGTGCTCAACATGCAGCGTCTGCAGGAGGAGGCCCAGTGGCTGATGGTGGTGGAGTACGTCAGGGCTCTGATGCAGAAGAGGCTGGTGTGTCGCAGCGCCGAGGAGAGGAGGCAGCTCGCGCAGCAGATGGTTCAGGACGACCAGCAGTTTAGAGAAATCCTCCACGGCCTGGTGAGGAGGAGCCGACTCTTTCTGTCACGATTCATGACAGAAATGTTCATTCATGTTCACCCCCTTCCTAACCCTAGATCCAGTGTTACGCTGAAGTCTTAGGATTTCTTGGATGCAAGTCAAGGCAGCTAGGGTGCACACGTATTTGCACACACCACCAAGGCTGATGATTGTAATAAATAAGGCCATTCATACAAAGTTTACGCAACAGCGATGCCCTGCAACAGAATCCACACAGCACCCTTTGCTTCTTCTTGTTACTGTGCTGGTACCCAAGAAGAGGAGACATGGTATCCTGCTTTAATATAGGTTCCTGCTAAAAGCACTGGATTGAATTTGAAGCTTCGCGCAACCTCTGACTGACTTTGTCATTCACGGCGGAACATGGCTCTCACACTCACTATTCATATTTGAGAATAAATGTTTAGCAATTTGAATAATGAATACTTCTGGACATTATTACGCTTTTAAAAGACAGTTGTATTGACAATTGCAAGAGACAAATATTTCTTTTATGATTTTAGATACTCCCCGACATGTTCCTGTTGAGGCTTTCTCCCCGAGACAGGTTGCTGCTTGGGCCCATATAAATCAAACTCATATATGTACCTGTCTGCAGGAGGGTGAAGGCTCAGTACCTGAAGTGAATCCTTTGTCCTTACTACCCGTCCTCGCTGACTTCATCCGACTGAAAGACCCCGGCATGCTCACTCTGGAAGTTTCTGGACTCGCAGCCAAGTACCCCGACATCAGGTAATCTGACCTCACCTGCTTTTCAGTCCTCCATGCTAATAGTAAAAATCATTTAATATTAATGGTGTTCAGTCAAAAAGGTTATTTTGAAAAGCCAACATTATTATCTACCATATAAAAACATGAAACATTTTGTAATATTCTGCTCTTTATGACCATGTTTTTTTTCTTTCCCCTCAGTGAAGAGCATGTGTCTGTCCTGCTGGATATCCGTGGGGATGTCTCCAGGGACATCAGAGGGGCTGTGCTGGACTTGCTGGAGCAGAGCGCCCCGCCTCTGCCTGCGGGATACCGGCCCATCTTCACCGATATCCTGGTCCCCCCCCCCACCATGGCCTTCTGTCTGCCAACCGCCAAGTGTGCGTGATGGCGACTGAAACTGCAGCTTACACGCATCAATCATACTGGGAGCTGCCCAGTGTCACCGTCTTCTTTTGTGTCCCAGTGAAGTAGATTAAGGGTTCGTGGCCTTTGCTTGTATAACTTGGCCCGTCAGGGTAAGCAGTCATCGGAAACCGTTTGGAAAAGGGACGGCACTTTGAGAAAATACTTGCCAGGGGATTGGTCGAACCATCAGTCAATCAAACACTTGCCGAAGCCGATCAGGATAAGAACGAAACATGTTTTCAATGCCGTTCTCTGCTCTTCTTTCAATGAGGAGAAACTCTCAAGTTCCGAACTTATCCAGGAGCTGCCATCGTCGTTTAGAACAAACAGTGGCCTCTGCCTGTCGTGACATACACCTAAGCCACGCCCCCTAGCTACAGTAGCTCCTCGAGCAAGGCCAATTGCTTCAGTCACTAGCTTACCGGACACAAACGCATTTCTTGAAGCCTGACGGGAGGGATTTTTCTTGTGGTGTCGCGTGACACCGCGATAATCCAGCTGCCGTGCAAGGTTAGCATCCATGAGCCACTATAGCTCGATTAGGTTGCAAGGTAAAACGATATCTTTCACGCTGTCACAACTTGTTCTCATGTGTCTCAGCGACCATTGACAGTACTTTCTACTGAGCAAATGCTTTGAACGCCGTCAGCAAAAATTCCTTTTTCACCTTCGCTGTGTTTGGGCGACAGCAGACATTTTAGAGGCTGATACTTTAAAACTTCGGCTCACAAAACCTAATGGTAAATGGACTGTACTTGTATAGCACTTTTCTAGTCTTTCCGACCACTAAAAGCGCTTTCACACTACTTGTCATCATTCACCCATTCATACACTGATGGCAGGGGCTAAGTGACGCCTGCCTATCACATTCATACACCATAGGCACAGCTACGGGAGCAATTTTTGCAAATCCATCTGCATGGCTATATGTTGCTGCTGAAACGTTTTTCTGACTCGGGTCCACCAACATGTTAAGTTACATCCATCACGTAACACAATAGCACCTATTGGAGATATTTAATTAGGAACTTGTGACACCTTTCTGACTCCTGACCAATAAAAAAAACACTGACAGACATAGAAGTGCAAAATCCTCCTGCAGCCTGTGAGATATTCATGGTCTACTTTTAGATCTTCTCTCTGAATGTATTCAACTGTGAAGCCTGGTTTTCAGTCAGGGCTCCTGGACTGTACACCATCCCACCTGAAAAACTTAGGCTGCTAATTCATTACTTTAATTACCTTTCAAATCTATTATTCATGAACTTGTTTTTTTATTTTGTCCAATTTTAACTTGTATTGCTGCTCATATTGGGTATTTTAATCAGATTTTTCTAAGTATTTATTGTATTTATGTATTATTGTTCTGCTGTTATCTTTTGTTCTGGTTCAATGCCAGCCCTCTAAAGCACATTGTAAACGCATGTTTAAATAAATGCTTTGTCAAGCAAACTTAATTTTTCACCTATTGCTTGGATTAGTTAATTTTTACTAATAGTGCCCAGTACATATTGTGATGACCCCTTCCTTCCACCAGGGGTCTGTGTCCTGTTTCCTCTCAGTTTGTCTTTCAGGATGTTGATCAGCCACTGATGGGCAACACCTGAGCCTGGTTTGGTCCCAGGTATAAAGGCTGTCCCTCTTTTTTGGCTGGGGGCCTCCCCGCTCCTCTCCTCTCCGACTCTTCTTTGGCTGGGGGCCTCCCCGCTCCTCTCCTCTCCGACTCTTCTTTGGCTGGGGGCCTCCCCGCTCCTCTCCTCTCCGACTCACCTTTGGCTGGGGGCCTCCCCGCTCCTCTCCTCTCCGACTCTTCTTTGGCTGGGGGCCTCCCCGTGCCTCTCTTCCCTGCCTCCTGTTTGGAGGACCTGGCTGCTGCTTTGTTTTGATTGTTTGGTTTAGTTCAGTTATTGGTTCATTAAATAAATCCTACTTTTAACTCGTCTTGTCTCCCTCATGTTATGGCCTTTTGAGCCGGGTCATGACAATACCAAAGTATATATTTATTATTAATCATGGTAGAAGCGTTCACGTTCGCGATCCCTGTCAGGTTTAAACAAACCTGCGAATTCTACCGAAGACACTGAAGCCGAGTGAAAGACAATGATGTCCAGAAGCTCAACAAACGACAGCAGCCCTCCAGTCCGGAGCAGGAAGAGGCCAATGCCCACCTCCAAGGCCAGCACTGACCATCATATCTCTCAATGTTGAAGGACTGTCTACAACTAAAGAAGAACTTGTTGCAAAACTCTGCAAAGAATACCAGTGCGATATTCTCTGCCTACAGGAAACTCACCGCAGACCAAAAAATCATCGCCCTTGTGTGGAAGGTATGACCACCCTCATAGAGAGACCACATAAGAAATATGGCAGCATCATGCTAGCAAAAAATGGGACAATTGCCGAATCAACATCAAAGAGCGATGAAAACAACATTGAAGTCCTAACCACTGAGCTCAGAGGAGTTACCATCACCTCAGTCTACAAACCGCCCCCCATACCTATGGAGATGCCTGAAATACCACCATCCGGAAAACCGAAGATTGTGATAGGAGATTTTAACAGCCACAGCACGCAATGGGGATACGCCAACAACAATGCAGATGGAGATGCAGTAGAAATATGGGCTGAAAACTGCCAGCTTAATCTGATCCACGACGCAAAACAACCACAGTCCTTCAACAGCGGACGATGGAGAGCAGGTTACAACCCTGATATCGTGTTTGTCAGCCACAAGATCGCCGGATTAAGCAAAAAGCTGGTCTTGGAGCCACTGCCAAGGACCCAACACCATCCCATCAGCATCACAGTCAACGCTGCAATAACCCCAGCCACAGTTCCATTCCAAAGAAGATTCAACTTTGGAAAAGCGAACTGGCCTGGCTTCCAAGAACATCTTGAAAGGAAGATTGCCCATCTCCCAGCAGACCCCAGGAACTATGACAAACTCACTGAGCTTGTGCATGAAGCAACCCGCAAGAACATCCCAATACATCCCGGGCCTTGACGCTACAAGTACCGAACTGTACGAGCGATACCAACGGCTCTATGAATCTGACCCCTTTGCTGAAACTACCACCGAAGTAGGTGAGAGACTCATGACCTCCATTTCAGAAGGCCGCCACCTGAAGTGGAAAAACCTGCTGCAGACAACTGATATGGCAAAGAATAGCAAAAAGGCATGGAGCCTCATCCGAAAAATCAGCAACGATCCATCAACCGCAACTCTGCAACAGTATACGACCACTGCCAACCAAGTTGCGCACCAGCTGCTGCTCAATAGGAAACCCACCACTAAACAGCCAAGACCAAAGGTAGATCGAGTAAAGCACTCCCAAACCATGGGACTGACCAAGCCATTCTCCCCTGAAGAGCTTAATATCAGCATCAACTCCGTTAAAACCGTCAAAGCCATCGGACTGGATAATATTTTCACTGAAGAGATCAAGCATTTTGGACCTCTGATGAGGAAATGGATCCTCGAGCTGATGAATAAGTGCATGCTGACAAAAAACATCCCAAAAATCTGGAGGAAAACCAGGATTATTGCCTTTCTCAAACCAGGCAAAGACCCAACGCATGCAAAGAGCTTCCGCCCAATCTCTCTGCTATGCCACCTCTACAAGCTGTTTGAGCGCTTGATCCTCAACAGGCTTGCCCCTGTTGCTGAACCAGCCATCATACCTCAACAAGCCGGATTCCGACCTGGCATATCTACAACAAGCCAACTTCTGAACAACACATCGAGGACGGATTCCAGAAAGGACTGGTAACAGGAGCCGTCTTTGTCGATTTGTCTGCCGCATATGACACTGTGAACCACCGCCTCCTCCTAAAAAAGATCTTGGAGTTGACAAAAGACCTGGCACTCACAGACCTCATTGGAGCCCTTCTGAAAGACAGGCGCTACTTTGTTGTCCTGAATAACAAGCAGAGTCGCTGGCGACAACAACGGAATGGCCTACCTCAAGGTAGTGTGCTGGCCCCACTACTGTATAGCATCTACACCAACGACCAGCCAATGGACCAGAACACTGAGCGTTTCATCTATGCAGACGATCTCTGTGTAACATCTCAAGATAACTCGTTTGAAGCAGTAGAATCAAACCACCACAGCTCTAGAGGAGCTACTCCTCTATTACGAGCGCAACCACCTACATGCCAACACTGCAAAGACCCAAGTCTGCTCCTTCCATCTCAGAACCATGAAGCCAACCGACCACTTAACATCAAATGGTCTGGAACACCACTTGAACACTGTACCCACCCTGTCTACTTTGGAGTAACCCTGGATCGTACTCTCTCCTTTAAGGAGCACATCAACAACACAAAATCCAAAGTCGGTTCCCGAAACAACATCCTACGGAAACTGACCAACTCCAAATGGGGAGCCACAGCACACACATTAAGATCTACTGCTCTGGCCATGTGCTATTCCTCTGCGGAATATGCATGTCCAGTTTGGGAGAGGTCAACCCATGCCAAGAAACTTGACCCAGCACTGAACAACACCTGCCGCCTGATCACTGGCTGCTTGAAACCCACCAACACAAGCAACCTTCACCTCCTCGCTGGCATTGCCCCTCCTGATATTAGACGGGAAGTTGCCAGCCGAGTCGAGAAAACAAAATCTACTAGTGATGAACGCCATCTCCTCCATGGATGTCACCCTCCGGCCCAACGGCTAAAATCAAGAAGAAGCTTTCTCAGCCATGTCCAGCCCCTAATAAAGTCTCGGGAAGAAACCAGACTCCAACTCTGGAGGGAAAAGCTTGAGAATGACCCTCCTCCAACTTTCATGGGAATACCCCCCCACTGAAAACCTTCCCCCTGGCCCAGAAGCACCATGGGCTCAATGGAAAACACTAAACCGCCTCAGAACAAGAACGGGACGATCAAAAGCTGCTCTGGTCAGATGGGGCTACAACGCTGGCCTAACCACCTGTGAATGTGGAGAAGCAGACCATACTATGGAGCACTGCCTTGTCTGCCCTCTACTACCCAACCCTTGCAACTCAAAAGACCTTGCAGTGTTCAATAAAAATGCAAAGGACTGTGTAAAGGAATGGGAAACTGTCGTATAACCATCACGCTTCAGTGAAACGAAAAGAAGATTAAACTGGAGCCGATCCCAGCTGACATTGGGCGAAGGCAGGGTACAAATAACCTAAGCTGCATGTCTTTGGACTGTGGGAGGAGGCCGGAGAACCCGGAGGGAACCCACGCTGCCAAGGGGAGAACGTGTAAACTCCACACAAACTCTTGCTGTGAGGTGACAGTGCTAGCCACTCCACCACAACAGCCCTTATTTGATGGTATATGTATTATCAATGTGATGCCTGAACTTATTTGATGGTGTATTTACAGTTGTGTGAAAAAGTGTTTGCCCCCTTCCTGATTTCTTATTTCTTTGCATGTTTGTCACACTTAAATGTTTCAGATCAAACTAATTTAAATATTAGACAAAGATAACACAAGTAAACACAAAATGCAGTTTTTAAATGAAGGTTTTTATTATTAAAGGGGGGAAAAAAATCCAAACCAACATGGCCCTGTGTGAAAAAGTGATTGCCCCCTAAACCTAATAACTAGTTGGGCCACCCTTAGCAGCAACAACTGCAATCAAGCGTTTGCGATAACTGGCAATGAGTCTTTTACAGCATTGTAGAGGAATTTTGGCCCACTCATCTTTGCAGAATTGTTGTAATTCAGCCACATTGGAGGGTTTTCGAGCATGAACCGCCTTTTTAAGGTCATGCCACAGCATCTCAATCGGATTCAGGTCGGGACTTTGACTAGGCCACTCCAAAGTCTTCATTTTGTTTTTCTTAAGCCATTCAGAGGTGGACTTGCTGGTGTGTTTTGGATCATTGTCCTGCTGCAGAACCCAAGTGCGCTTCAGCTTGAGGTCACGAACAGATGGCCGGACATTCTCCTTCAGGATTTGTTGGTAGACAGCAGAATTCATGGTTCCATTTACCACAGCAAGTCTCCCAGGTCCTGAAGCAGCAAAACAGCCCCAGACCATCACACTACCACCACCATATTTTACTGTTGGTATGATGTTCCTTTTCTGAAATGCCGTGTTACTTTTACGCCAGATGTAATGGGACATACACCTTCCAAAAAGTTCAACTTTTGTCTCGGCAGTCCACAAAGTATTTTCCCAAAAGTCTTGGGGATCATCAAGATGTTTTCTGGCAAAACTGAGACGAGCCTTTTATGTTCTTTTTGCTCAGCAGTGGTTTTCGTCTTGGAACTCTGCCATGCAGGCCATTTTTGCCCAGTCTCTTTCTTATGGTGGAGTCATGAACACTGACCTTAATTGAGGCAAGTGAGGCCTGCAGTTTTTTGGATGTTGTTCTGGGGTCTTTTGTGACCTCTTGGATGAGTCGTCGCTGCGCTCTTGGGGTAATTTTGGTCGGCCGGCCACTCCTGGGAAGGTTCACCACTGTTCCATGTTTTCGCCATTTGTGGATAATGGCTCTCACTGTGGTTCGCTGGAGTCCCAAAGCTTTAGAAATGGCTTTGTAACCTTTTCCAGACTGATAGATCTCAATTACTTTGTTTCTCATTTGTTCCTGAATTTCTTTGGATCGCAGCATGATGTCTAGCTTTTGAGGATCTTTTGGTCTACCTCACTTTGTCAGGCAGGTCCTATTTAAGTGATTTCTTGATTGAGAACAGGTGTGGCAGTAATCAGGGCTGGGTGTGGCTAGAGAAATTGAACTCAGCTTTCCAAAGATGTGATAAACCACAGTTAATTTATGTTTTAACAGGGGGCAAACACTTTTTCACACAACTGTATATAAATTCAGGCATCACATTGATTAAGAAACAGACAAAAACAATGAAGGTGGAGCATTAAAGCAAAATGTGTGAAGTGGGGAGTTTTCATGTTGATACATAACAAAGTATGCAAAAACAAACTATTGTATCATTTCCATGTTTTCTTTTTCAGGACAAACCGGGCTATCAGAATATGGACATTACACTGATGTCACATGGATATATAAATATATCACCATATATACAAAAGAAAAACAAAATGAAAATTGAATCTCAGATATTTATTAAAATCACATATAACACAATAGTGAACAGCAACAATTGCACAAACAGCACAGATCTACATGATACTCGGATGGGCTGAATGTCATGTGATTCATTAGGGCGTGGCCTCTGAGATCAGCACTTTAACGCACACACACACACAGTTAAAAGTTTCCGGGCAGAAATCTCGCTGATGTACATTGGTTCCACGTTACCTGTAAAATCTCTTTTAGGGTTAGCCGGAAAAATAAACTGACTTTGATGGAACAAATAATTGACATTTGAGGGAAAGTCAGAGCACTGTTGCTCCACCAGGTCACAAAGGTCAGAGCACCGTTACTCCGCCAGGTCACAAAGGTCAGAGCACCATTACTCCGCCAGGTCACAAAGGTCAGAGGACCATTACTCCGCCAGGTCACAAAGGCCAGAGCACAGTTACTCCACCAGGTCACAAAGGTCAGAGCACCGTTACTCCGCCAGGTCACAAAGGTCAGAGCACCATTACTCCGCCAGGTCACAAAGGTCAGAGCACCATTACTCCGCCAGGTCACAAAGGCCAGAGCACAGTTACTCCACCAGGTCACAAAGGTCAGAGCACCGTTACTCCGCCAGGTCACAAAGTTCAGAGCACCATTACTCGACCAGGTCACAAGGGTCAGAGCACCGTTACTCCCCCAGGTCACAAAGTTCAGAGCACCATTACTCGACCAGGTCACAAGGGTCAGAGCACCGTTACTCCGCCAGCTCACAAGGGTCAGAGCACCGTTACTCCGCCAGCTCACAAAGGTCAGA